GGGGGGCTGCTCTCCCCTTCCCCACATCCCGCACCAGGGTGGGATGGGGGGGGAGCCCAGCCAGCCCCCCTTACAGGTAAACTCCACACTGCTCTTCGGTCCCAAAACAAGGCGGTTAGTGTAAGTAACAGTCCTGTGAATTAAGCTAAGTATCTGGTGCTCCAAGACGCGCAGTAAGCGTCCTGCAGACTTCTGCTCTGGCAGCAAGATACAGCGAAAGCAGCATCGCTGGGGCAGGCTGCCGAAGCCCTCCAGCCCGTTCCTCATGTGAGTGTGTTTTCTCCCAGTTCGTCCCACTAAGCGTAGTGTGAAGGAAAGGCTTAAGACTGGGCTGGGGAGCCTGAAGTGCAGAACAAGTTCCTAGCACCTCTCGGGCCGTACTTGAACCTCGCAAGGACTTCAGCGACTCTTCTAGCAGAGCCGCCTCAGCCACGGCAGCATGTAAACCTCACACCTCTGTAAACAAAGCCTTTTTCCAAAATCATTTTAGGCCTGATCTTCACTTTAGAGCTACAGGATGGGAGAGCGGAGGCTTAACTCCTCACCGTTCGCGGCCATCAGCCTCAGCCTCTGGTATTTAGCTTGTTTTAAGTGGCAATGATCACGTTACTGGAGTGGCACACGCTGATTTGTGTCCATATACAACCGAAGCCAGTCCATTACCTGGCTACATGTGGTACATCGTACAATGCACAAGTTTAAGTACCCTTTTATAACATAACATTAAGACATACTGTAACAAACGCCTTCAGTAGATTGAGGCGATAAAGGCAGCCTTATCTGGGAGAAGAGTACAGGCTCAGCTTCGTCTCAGTGCACCAGGCTCAGAGGTGTTTGAGTTTGGTACTACTTCCAATTTACGTTCTGTGGAATCTTTGAATAAAGTAATTGTTCATCTTGTTTTCCTTGCTCTAATGGGAGGGGGGTGAGAACACTAGTTGTAAAGATAAACAGGGTGTGTGAAATCTCTCAAAACAAGTTCAGTCGGGCAGACTTTATAGCCAACAGGAAAAAAAAAATGCAGAGAAGCAGCTGTACCGAGTTCGGGAAAACCTGCGGATCTACAATGCCACACATGCAAAAAGACAAACCAAATGGAAACAAGATAGCAAGGTAGCTACAAACAACAATAAAAAGGCATCAGGTAAGCGTCTGAGATGGCTACACAGGAAAAGCTATACAAGACATTTCTGGAATTGCATATACAGAGATTTAAATTTTATTCATACATTTATTATTTACAGAAGCTACCTCTATTAATTGCCAGAGACTGACCTTGACTCTCCTACTTTTAAATAAGGTTACTAACCACCACGCACAGCAGAACGGAGTTAATACTGTTAGTGTCATTGGTGGCATGAGTGTGCACCGAGGCAGTGAAACGCCTAACGATTCTACTTTGGAAAAGTATTTGTTCTTCTGCGCGTGTGGTTCTTGGTTGCTGCACTTTCAGCTGGAGCAGCTGGCGAGGCTGTATCTGTATAGAACCACACTGTTAATGCCATCAAGACCAGAAAAATGCCCACACGTGCAAGTAAAAAAGTCTTGTTTTATATTAAAAAAAGCATTAATTCTGTTTATTGCACAAAGAAAGGAAGATTTACACTAATACTGCAGGGTTATGTATCCCTTTCTATTGGTTCTATGTATCCCAGACTATTGGTTGTAATTTTGCTGTATTCTAGCCAATAAATTCCAGCAACAAGGTGCAGTAATTCCACATGCCTACACTACTTTGGATGCAGCATGCTAGCTTTCCTGGGAAACAAAGCCATTGCGTGCTCATCCCCTGCAGCTGGGAGGAACAGTAAACCCAGGGAGAACTTGCCAACTCTGTATTTCCTCATGTAGTAAACAAGGTGCATTTTCTATTTCAGCCTCCACCCTATAGGTATGTTACACTAAGATCAACCAACCTTGCCCCAGAAATGCAAAAGGCAAAGGGCAAGGATATTATTTTCAAAAGCAGCCCTCTTGGGAAGGGCAGCAGGACCACCCCAGCCCATACCTTCCTTGCAAAGGATTCCCCTCCCCCCCATTTTTTATTCTTTGCAATACAGCCAAATTAGAGATCCCAGAGTGAAACGATCAGATGAACAGACACAGCCACAATACAAAGCTACTGAAGAAGAACGAATGACCTGTTTTCCCTCGAGCATGCTCTCACCAAGCATGTGACTTTAAAAAAGCTGAAGAAACCTTATTTTTAAAAATATGTCTGTCATAGTTAGCACAATTTAAAACTGTTATTGCCTTTACAACTAATTCAAAAACCAAATTTAATTAAAATGAATTGGCATTTTCCCCATGGACAGTCATTAGTTGTAATGACTTTGTTTCGGTATTACGATATGTAATCTCTGAGCAGTCTTCCATTTTACCAGAAGACTGTAAAAGAAAGGTCAGGTTTCTTCAGACATTCAAATAACTATTATGAAGCGAATTTACCAGAAAAGAGCTTGTTTACATAAGTAAGAGGTGAAGGGTACGTAAGAGATAAATAGCTTATAACTTGGGGTATTTGCACTGCAGTGGAACAGTAGATAAATCCCCTTAGGTAAAACATGGAAGCTTTGCTCCTGTCAATGTAAACATTTTGAGTGTTGCAAGAAGCTAATACAGAGAGATGCTCTTAGCTTCTAAACACTTTCTAGCCTAGACCCTCTGCTTTCTCCTTCCTCTCCGACCGCACTGTAATCGGTGCCAATCGATAAGTGATTGGGATAGTTGTGTGTGGACCGAAGGCCGCCTAGGACCATCAGTTAATGGGAAGTTTTTACTTTACTGAGTAAAGACTGTCGTGATCAGCTCCTAGCAACGCAGACACTACCTGGAACACACAAGATGCTTTTCTTTGATTGGTGTTTGTGTGGGATTGGCAAAAATCCCTTTCAGTTCAAGGGCGTGGATTTTTATCTCACTTGCACAACTCCATAATAAAAGCTGCAGCGGGGTAACTAGCATCAATGGGGTGTACCGGGGGAGATTTCTCTGGCCGCTATTCAAGATGGAACATCCCCAAGGTCTCACCTCTATGAGCAATCTTCTGGTTGCTATTACCTGTCCCACTCATGTTAGCCACAAAGAGCTACATCTGAAGAAGCCGTCTGCAGAGTTAGGGGTTCAGAACTCTCCCACAATTAAAAATTCTTCCGTGCTTCCTTTTCAAGTAGAGTCATCCAACCCCTTATTTGGGTGCTCAGAGCTTGACTTGCAGAGCCTGTCCATGATCCCCTGCAGCATAGGTTGAACAATCCCCAAGAGAGGGCGCTGGGAAGAGTCTCCGTCCCAGCAGGCTTCCATCAGCTGCCAGCATTCCTCATCGAACACGGGAAGACGCTCCGGGCGAACTCCTGGAAAAACGGAGAGGGACCTGGTAACCATCAGTACACCTCAAATCTGAGAGAAGCTTTGTCTGACGCTCACTACTTTGGTGCAAGCTGAAGTGACTAAAGTGGACTGTCCAGGGTCTACTGCTATTAATAAAGGCGTACATTTCAGCAACGCCGCTGAGACATCTTTGGGAGCATTGCTGAAGTCGCTCGGGAGATCATGCACACTTCCAGAGGATGGCCAACACATTTAGTTTCACTGGAGCCTCCTCTTTGAAGCTATTTGGGAACAAAATGAGTACCCTCCTCTATAAGAAAACCAGTCCCTCCCACATCCACTCATAATGGTGCCTTTGGGAGAAAGTTCAACATGAGAACAAGCAGCGAGTGCAGCATTCTGACCGAGTACAAGACTCGCTCATCTGAGTTAATCTTTTTCACATGAGAAGGGGAGAGATTATATGGACAGGAACTAAGGACACAAAGTAGTAAAGCATTCTGATACCACAATGCAGCGTGAAGGATTAAGCCACCACTAAATATAGTGCTACACTAAACCTGCACAGGCAGTGTAAGTTTATATTTTGGGGAAAAGCTATGAGTGTGTTTTACTCAACATCCAGCTTGCTCAGCATGCTGCATGTTAAGCACTTGAATGCACAGATCTCCACAGCCTCCAGAAATTGCAAGGGATTAAACATTCTTTAGGGGATCATGCCTGGCTGGTTCTGGGGTCTGTTTTACATCGTAAGTGTTGTACTACTTCGCATGGTTTAAGCGGTGTGCTAGCACAGCTCCTATGACACTATGGCAAGGAGGTGGTTAACTGAAAGCCTTTTTTTTGTTATTCCTTGCTAATTTTAGTTAGACTTTCAGTAGAATATGTCCAAGTTTAACTAGATAACATTACTCTTCAGGCTGTCAATGAAGCAATACAACTCGTATTTTTACCTTTCGGTTCCAAGAGGATAAAAATGGATTTCCTAATCTCCTCTCAAATTTTACTGAAGTGTAAGTTATCAACCAACAGAGTTCAAAATAAGCCATTTATACCTCTTCTAACATTGTTCCAAAGGTGATCTTTGCTTGCACATCTCTCGAAAGCCTCTGGTAACTTCACGTGTCCCGAACAAATGTACCAAAACAGAATGCCAAATGCATAAACATCCACTGAATTATCATACTTTCCTGTGACAAAAACACATTTGATCAGCAGGGCAAACATCATCTTCATCTCTGGAAACTGAGCAGTCTGAACTAATTTCAGTGTTCCACTTCCTCAAATTAAAACCACAACTTCATTGCCGGAGGGCAAGGCTTGAATGAAGCCTAGTAACACATCAGGAGGCATTGCCAAAGGTGGAGGGATAAAAGTTAAGACCTTCCATTCTCAGAGGATTTATACGCTTAACCTGTACCAGCAGTTCCCAAGCTGAGGTTCACGGACCACTGCAGGTACAGGTGCTCAGGTGTCTTTCAGACTTAAACACCAACATTTGTAAGCCTCAGTTCTGTTTACGCTTAACCTGTACCAGCAGTTCCCAAGCTGAGGTTCACGGACCACTGCAGGTACAGGTGCTCAGGTGTCTTTCAGACTTAAACACCAACATTTGTAAGCCTATCAGTTCTGTTTGGCTCTGCTGCTAGCTAGCCCAGGAGTCTGACGGAGCTAACATCAGCCTCTCAATCCAGAGTTTGGCAATTACTCATTTATAGCAAGTTCACCCACTGCATAAGAAAAGACTGAGCACAGTAAGCGTGTAAGGGCTAAGCCAATGCTCTCCTCTGTAAGGTCAAGGTCTAGCCTGCCAGTCACGAGTATTTCACTGTTAGCAGTGAGAGTGAGAACCACCTGAATAATACTCTCCAAATTAAACACAAATAGGGTTGCTTCGATTTGACTGCAATCTTGTCAAAGCAGGGACAGCATCTCAGATAGACCAAAAGGATTCTGCTAAGTGTGGTATGGACCTCTAAGCGCTACCATAAGATGCTTGCACAGGAAAAAAGTTTAGAGAGAGAGCCTGCCAGAAGCACAACACACAGTGAATTTGAACACACTCCACATGTTAGTAACAGCTTGGAAATTCCTTACTTGGTATCCATTCAAAAAACCACGGGATCCTTTCTGAAGTATTTGCCTATGAAAGCCAAATATTTCCAGCTTGCTAATAACTAATAATTTAACTTTCCAATTGAAAGGGTATTCATCACTTCAGCAAAGCTTATGAATCCCACAGTTCTCTATCAAGTAACCATATCTCAGTCATTTAAGACTGAGACTTAAAATACAGAAAAACACCATACTATGCATTCTAGTCTTCAATCAGGCAGTCTTCTGATTTATTTTAATTATTTTTTCCTCATAAGCAAGTTGAGATATTAATTCAAAGTAACAGCCTTCAAAATTCAAGCCAGAGTGAGACAGTAGCGGATTCAATCAACAAGCATACCTGTAAAGAGCTCAGGAGCCATATGAATGGGTGATGAAAGCCAAATATTTCCAGCTTGCTAATAACTAATAATTTAACTTTCCAATTTATTCATTATTCATCACTTCAGCAAAGCTTATGAATCCCACAGTTCTCTATCAAGTAATTTAAGACTGAGACTTAAAATACAGAAAAACACCATACTATGCATTCTAGTCTTCAATCAGGCAGTCTTCTGATTTATTTTAATTATTTTTTCCTCATAAGCAAGTTGAGATATTAATTCAAAGTAACAGCCTTCAAAATTCAAGCCAGAGTGAGACAGTAGCGGATTCAATCAACAAGCATACCTGTAAAGAGCTCAGGAGCCATATGAATAGGTGTGCCTACAATACTGCCAGACATCATGGCTTCTGGTTTGCAGAACCCCAAGTCAGTGATTTTGGCTCGATTCTTTTTGTCAAGCTGTAGAAGAATTCATACACAGGCAACTGATAACCACACTTCTCAGTTTTAGTACTGCATTTTAATATTAAGGCTTTAACCTCTGTTTATGTTTGAAGGGTTGGGCATTTATTCTTCAGTAAGCTTCTCTGATTACTTGGCTGCTCTTGGACTTTTACCTAGTTAAGCTCAGTAACAAGACATGTCTTCACTTGTCTTCTACGTAGAGGGTGTGGTTGGGGTTTAATAGAACTGCGAACTGGAAGTCCTACTTGTAGCTCAAGCTCTCTACCTTCAAGAGAAGTCACTCTATGGCTCCCTTTCCCCTAGGCTTTCTGCCTGAAAAGGAGCCAGGGAAACCTCACTGCAAGGCTCGTTGTGGCTAACAATACCACAAGTTAAAAGATCCTGTATGAAGAAAACTGTTACTTCACTTATATTATGCTTCTCCCTCCCACTAAAAGGGCCTCATAAGACTTCAGGATTAGTCAGATACAAAAAAGTTTTCCTTACCAAGACATTTTTAAGTTTGATATCCCGGTGCACAAGTCCCTGACTGTGAAGATAACGGATTCCTTCAACTACATCCAAGGCAATCTGTAATCGTGTTTCTAATTCTAGCCCAGCCTGAAGAATAAACAAACACAGATTTAATTCCTACAAATGGAAGTTACTTTTGCTTACTCTTATTTGCCAAAAACACTGAAGACTAAGCAATTCTAGCTTTGTTTTACATATTAATAGATACTTAGGTATGGATTTTTTAATGTATATATAAAAAACGTATATACATACACACAGATAGTTGTTACCTTTAGTCCGGTATAGAGGTCTCTGTGCAACCGTTCCATTATCAGTAAGACGGCAATGCTGGAGCCTCCTCCATAGCCATAATCTATCACAGAACCATGGAGATGTATGAGCCGCTCATGTGTCTGCAGAGACCTAGAGAAAGTTCAGCACAGAAAGCTGGTTATTTTTATATCCTTCCCTCCACCCCAGGCCAAGCCTCACCCTGTAAAGGAAAAATGCTCAGCAGCTGCAGCTTTAGCACAATAGTAAGATACACCTATACCATGTGCCGTACAGTAAAAATACACAGCACCCCACAGTTCTGAGGACCGTAACAATATACAGCTGTCTTACCCAATTAAACTCAAGAAAGCCTATTAAAGGTTATAGTACCAAAGAAATACTGTATTATTTCAGCCGTCTGTACTGCAGCACCTGCCTGCAGCTGTTTACTGAAAACGAGCTGTTTTCTGCAGCACAGACCCATCATTTTCTTTTGTGAATTCAGGTAGGACGAAGACAGATTGGGAAAGGAGGGATGATTCAACACCAAAAATCAGGGGAGGAAGAACTGTTTGCTATCATACTCTATTAATTCTAATTTAGTCTGCAAAATAGCAAGCATTCTCTGGCATCTACGCTGTTCAAATCAGGTTAAGACAGAAAGGAGCATGCCTGCCTACCATTCTGCGCCTGTTGCATTTTTGCAGTGGAACTGGCAAGCTGTCTTGCCTTTGCTAGAAATGGCAGCTTAGCATTTTGTGAGCTCAAGTCACTGATTGCAGAGTAGAATTATAGCAAGCAGGGTTCTGCCTATGCAAACGGCGTTTGTTTGCAGTAGCGAAGTTAAGGAGATCCATGTGGAATGAGAAAAGCGCTTACGATACACACCTCATATAGTGAAACTCAAGTGCAAGGTCATTCCAGTGCTTCTCATCTGGAGGAACAACAGATTTCAGTGCACATGGGAAATGCCCTCCCCAGCTGTCACACAGATAGACCACGCCATACTGTCCTCGGCCCAGCTCACGGCCCAACTTTGGTTTGCCTGTAAGGCACAACATCCATTTAGTTAGACATTAAAACGTGTTTATTTCTTCCCGTACACTATCAGGCTGGCAGCCCAGAGCTTTTCATGGGCCAACAGCTGCACAGTTCAAGGTACCCAGTATGTGTCAGATGGAGGCTTACCGAAGTAGCTGAGTGAAAAGCAAAACACCCCTCCTACTCCTTTACACCCACTGACTGCTTCAGAAGGAGGGAGCAGAAGGTAATACAGAGAACATCAAGCACAATGCTCACCATGTAACAGCACATCCTGGAGGGACCTGCTCTCCAGCGAGAGTCGCGCTAGCCGAGGAGCATGATCTTTCCGCACCTTCAGCCACAGGTCTTCTGTTTTCTCCAGCCTGCCAGAATGGCCGTCTTCTAACTAAAAGAGATATCGCATATACACTGTAATCCTGCCTGGTTTGAAGCCCTAGTGCAATGAGGTTGAGGGTCTTTGCACAACTGAGTAGAGATCCTACTTAAAGCATGCCTAGTTTAGAAATAGGACCTTGTATTAGGGCACTCACATCAGCTCTGCCACCTCCACCTACAGAATGGCAGCATTAACTGCACGGGCTGCTCTTTTAGCTATCTCTGCAATTAAAAATCCTCTTTCCATAAGTGGCAGTGTACAAAACAAGACCTCTTCCTTAACAGCTCCACACACTCACCTGTCGTAGAGAAGCTGCAAAAGCCTCATGGGAACTGTTTAGCCTGGTCCGGAACTGGCTGCAAATGCTCTTGGCTAACTTGGACGCACTGAGGCTCTCGATAGCATCCTGAGCAACTTTCCTCTTCCAGTCACTGGTGATGGCAGGTGGGCTGACCCATGTAATCCGCTGGATTATCTAGTAAAACAGGAAACAGAATTAAGGCACTAGCACAAAAAAGCAAAGGGTCAGTCAATTTACTCAGACTGCTTAGATACCTTGTAATAATGCAGTCATCTGCTCACAGAATTGGGCTAAATAATTACTTTATAGTAACTGCTAACAACTTAGAGGTATTGATCACAATACTGTTGTACATGCACACTAAAGAAGAGATTTGATTTTTCTGAAGATCTGCTCAGTTCATTCCTACAAGCCAACCATCCTTTCACGTCTAACCGAGAGCATACATAGCTAGACACTTGGAAAACCACACAGTTGTGGTGCAGCTTGTAGGCTGAAAGAACAGGCAGCGTAAGCAGTAACCCAGAGACTCAGGAAGAGAGATGTTCCTAAACTGGTGAAAGCTACAGAGAAGCAGCCTTTTGCTGGACAGACACACTGTCAAGGTGCGGAAGTCCTAGGTGTCGGTATGCACCACTTCCCTTAAATTGCTGGGTGATTAAGATGCCCTGCCCCACCCTTTATTAGAAGCCACAGAAATCCAGCTGCTGCACACCCAGTCTGGATCCTTCTCCCAGGCTGAAGGAGGAATCTGAAGGTTTGTTACCGCTCAGTCTGCACTGCGCCTATTTGGGAAAAACTCATATTCCTCTCACCCTTCATACAAGGAATCTCAAGAGGGAGAAGGCAGTAAAGGTCACCAACAGCTCAGAGCAGGAACTTCAGAAAGATGAATGCTTTAACAGGCAGAAATTTAAAACAAAGACCTGAGGAAATCTGGTCTGCTCTGGAGGGAGAAGAGTGAATTGACCTGAATCAAGATACATTGCAAAACAAACAAACAAAAGAACCCACAAGAAAGCCCAAAAACAAACAAAAAAACCCACAAAAAACCCAGAAACCCAAATAAATAACCAGTTCCCCAAAACATAAACAGCAAGAGTTTCAAAATGCTGATCATCATTCCTTTGCTGTTTCAGAACAGAAAGAAAACACTAGAAGTATTTGCTTTAAATTAAATATTAGCATCACCAGGAATAAACTATACACATAGCCTTAGCACTGAGTGGGGAAGCAACAGCTTTCCACAATGCATGTGCCCAGAGTCAAAGTTTAGAGGGCAGCTGTGAGTATTCATATTATTCTTTGCTCCAAAAACATTTCACTATACAGTGACACATACTAGAAATAAATGATAAAGATGCCCATACCTGTTTGATCTGTTCCCACAGCATCCTGGTTACTGTTGAGCCAGAGTGGAAAGTGACTTCAACATGATAGGCTGCATTTAGTATCTGGAAAGCAGAGGAAAGATGTAAGTATGGGAACTTTGCAAGCTATAGTCACTACAAAATTTGCTAGATCCTCTGAAAATGAAAAAATGGACACTGTATGGGATACTGCATGATTGACTTGGTTCAATTTATTTATTGTATTAAGCTCATAGGTGTTTCCAGGCTGTAATCTGATTACTATATACAGATTTAGGAAAGGTAAGTACTAGGCCTTTAAGTGACTATTCCCCAGTTTTAGCACCTCCCTTAATGACACTAGACCCACACATACTCCAGGAGTTGTGTTCCTCTAATTTCACTGAGCATCTCAGTCTCCTACCACCCTTGCTGGATCAGGATAAAGACAATTATTAAGAATATTCTAGACAGCCATTTAAGCCACCATACCTGTTTGAGATAATTGCTTGTGATGTGTACAGAAACATCCTTTGACTTCTCCAAACTCCTTGCAGGATGTACTGAAACCTCCCAAGACTCCTCCAAGCTCTTCAGACATCTCTCCAGAGTCCCTACAAAGCTCTCTCGCAGATAGTCCACTGAACTAATTAACTTGTTGGCAACTGCTTGGTTTAACCGAGAAATAATCAGTTCCTGAATTTGCTTAATACAGCACTTTATGTCCTTGGAACTAACAGGTTCCCCATTCTCAGGAATGATGATATCTGCATAAAAGAAAAGAAAGAGGCACCTTTTGTACTCAACATACCACTGTTGCCACAACAGCTACTGAGAGCTGCTTTGAGTGTTTTGCAAAGGAGCTACAGCACAGTCCCAGTCCAGCCAGCTTCTGCTCCAAACGCTCTTTTGCTGTTTTGCTCCTTCAGAGGTTCATTACTTTAGACCCAGATATATCAACCTGAGGCCAACAGTCAAAGAAACCCATGAGCAACAGAAGAACACATATACTGACTATTACAAAGGATTAAATTTTTGCCAGTCTACGTGTCTAATGCTACAATGCCAGTTTTACGGAGGTCCCAAAACCAAACCTGCAGATTCTGACTTACTTGGTATTCTGTGAAAGAAAGTACTAAAGCATTAGAGTAGCTCCAGGAATGCACATCTGGTACTCCAGTTTCAGGGAAGCTAAAAATCAGATCTGACCAAGGTGGAAAATATTCTGATGTTTGCTTCCATTCACTGGTGTACAAATTCTCAGGATACTCAACTCTAACACCTGATAGACTCTACACAAGCATTCTGTAGCTACTACAGGTTTAACAGTTGTACAGTGATGACAAGCCAACTATCATCTCAAAAATTAAAGGGCAGAAGCACAAAGCTGTCCTTCTATCTAAAGCAGTACAGATCAGGAAATTCTTCCAGGCCATGCTGCAATCCATAAGCACTGCTGGATGTTGAATGTTACAAAGAAAGTGATGTAACAGCCACACCGGTTACATGAAATTTTTTTCCTGGGACCTTGAAAAGGTTGATTACCACTTGGTATTTTTAAACAAACACTGAGCAATCACTGCTCATGCACTGTAACCACTCTGAGCAGTACTACATTACTACCAGGAGCTGAAGACCTTGTCTCTGGATTTTGGCCAAAACCAGTCTAGCCTACTTAAAACAAAATCCAGTGATCGGCAGATGGCATTAGCTCCCCAAAAGAACATCTTCCTCCTTTTAGGATATTTCTTCAAATACCGATAGCCAACAAGATTCTACAATCTAAGTGATATTTGTTGTGCGTATACACATATACACACATTTACTGCGGGTGTTTTAGCTTGCGCTGCCCCTAAACATACTCCCTGCACGTACAGAATCCTGAAACTCAGGCACTACAGTGCTCCAATTCTGTAAAGAGTGGGACAGACAGAATACAGGAATTATTACCTATCCTGATAATGGCGCAATAGCAGCCCAAAAAGGTAGAATTAACACACTCACTATACCCCTAGCGTATGCTAGTTTGTTGGGGTTTTTTGCAGCACGCAAATAGGTTAATGTTGCAATTAAAACAAGCTCTTTATGAGGACGACATTTTGCATGGTCACTACAAAGCAAACATTTCAAGAAACAGGAAATATCTTATCCATTTCCCACCTGCAGGAGCAAAAACAACCAGATCCTAACCTGCAGGGTTAAACATAATCCATCATCTCTCCTCTTCGTCCCAGGAGATAACACTCCAATTTGAAATTGGGAGGAAGTCGAGACAAACAAAATTATCTAGAATTTTCACCTCTCTCATGCCTCAGAAGAGCACTCAATTCACAAAAAAATAATTTCTTCTAAACCTAGAGTTACTTCTGATTTTATTTTAAATAGAAAAATCTTTCCCCATCAGCCCAGTGAACTGCATTTCCTTAGAACAGAAACGATTGTTATGGTAAACCTCTGCTTAGCAAGCAGAGGAGAAAAGAGCTGTGGAGTATCAACCTGCAAATCTTCGCTTTGATGTTTATGACAGACCACGTATTCCTGCAGACAAAATTTGGATAGCCTCTCGCCCTTCGCGGTTTACACATCATTCTGTATACTTCCAGCTTGTGTGTCCCTGGAAGTTCTGGTACTAGAAGATGTAGTGAGAATTCTCACATTTCACAAAAAACACACACTAAACACCAAGCGTAGGCCTCAGGAGCACAATATGTTGTGTTGATTGTTTTTTTTTTAAAGGAAAACCTTACTTACCCAGAAGGATTTCATTTTAGGAGGTTCTATACCCAAAAGTCTTATGCAAACCTCTCTCAGACAAAGAAATCAAGCAGAAAGTACAAATCAAGCCTTCACCGCTAAAACTCAAACAGCTTTTTTTCTTAGGACAGATTTATTCCCAAGTCTCAACGCAACCACTGAGGCAGAGCTGAGAGCGTTATTTTCTTCTTCGGCAGAACGGGGAATTAAAACAGAGAAGTAAAATACCCTAATCCAGAACTGTCCAGCAAGCTCTGGAGGAAAAAAAAAGTCTGATTTACAAGAAATCAAGACTTAATATGTTCAGGCTTCTCATTTAAGGACAGTGCTTTCTACCCAGGAGACACTACAGAAAAAACCTTTGTGTATGAGTTCTGAATTTTCTTGCAAAGTCACTTGTCTAGACTGCCATTCAACCGTCCCTTAGCAGATGGCAAACATTACTCTGGCACTCTCCTTTAAAGCCCCTAGCCTCTTTGTTCCCATTACTCTCCTGCCAGTAGTTACCTTTGAATTCCATATTAGCAGCATCCTCCAAGAGCTCCTCTTTCATATTGCTAAGTGTCTCTATGATCATGTCCTTCATCTCCTCTTGTTTGCGGTTGGCAATGTTCATCAGAGACTCATATAGCTCGTTCTCCTTCTTGCGGGTATACTCTAGCCTCTTGGGGGTGATTTGCAGGTCTCGCTGCATGTCGAAAGCCTGATTGATGAAGATGTTCAGGCAGCGGCAGTGCACTTCATTTAAACTGGTAGCTGCTTCCACGAGATGCTTCTGAAGCACCTGCCTGGAAAAAGTGCTTAGGAGACGGAGCTTCTCAAACTGCTCCACCAGCATGCTTTGGGCATCAGCATCAGGACCGGGTGCCCCGCAGCTGCAGTGGCTGGTACTCAGGTACTCCAAGTCCATCAGCTGGCAGTAAAGGGAGGACTTTTCATGATCAGTTTTTTTGGGAGAGATCAGCTCAACCCCCAACTCTGGCACTTTGAAGAAGAAAATGGGCAAAGAGAATTTCTCTTTGATTTCGCGCAGTTCATTCTCATCTGATGAAGAAAGTTCAGCCTCGCTGATGGCAAAGATGACAACAGGCAAGACTTGGTTCACATACTCTCCCAAGGTGGCTTCAGCAGACTGGAATCCACGACATGGTGCTACCACAACATCTACTTCCTAGCAAGTGAGGAAGTAAAAAAAAAATAGGTTTGCACAGATCCTTTTAAAAACTGACACATGCAAAAATGCACCATAATTCATTCACAAAGTGCAAAACCAGAAACATTCAAACCCTTTAGAACAGTTATGGAGTCTCACACACAGCATCATGCTTTAGTATGTAGCCTACCTGCAAGGCTAATGACAGCCCCCTCGCAGGGATGCGGCCAGACATGGATTAGCACCTACGGACTCCAAAACTCTTATTTTGTACCAAGTGCCTTTGAATTTTAGCCTAGTTCAGAACAAAACTTAGAACAAGTTTCCCAGGTAAGTGCTATCGCAGAATAGCTGTTATTCTTCAGCTTATAGCTGACCCATTTTGCACCAACCTCTCCCAGTAAATACACTCTCAACCTCCCACTGATGTTTACCAGATCTGCAGCTCTTTGAGGAGATATTCATGCTGTCAGTTTTCAGCGTGGCTACCAATGGTAGAAAGCACTACACTAGCCACTACTGCCAAGACAAAGGCAGCACAATAACCGATTCCAAAGAGTTCACAGCCAAAGGACAGACAAGGAGGAACAGATGGTTGTAACAAGCTTAGTTATGACTTTCTTCAAATCCAACCAAAACCTAAAAGATGTATTTTATTTACTTATTTTCTTACTGCACAGAGTTTCACTGCTTTGGTCATATGCTCCTGCTGACACCGCTTCTTACTAACCCTACTAAAAAGGGCCAGTTCTGAAACCTGCTTCCTTCCCTTCCAAGGACGTAGACAAGATTCACCTTTGGATATGCGAGAAGAGTGTTAGAATTGCATATATTGCTCTACTAAAATAAGGAAAGAAAATGTCAAAGGATTTGAACTGAAGACAGCATTTAAGTACCGTCTTCCCAACTCGTAACAGGGGGCAATAATTAAGAATTCTTCAATCATTTTTCTCCACCAGAAAAATTAAAGACTTGACCACATCTCCCAACTGCTCTTAGAGCTAACAGGAAGTCATTACTGCCACGGGATTCCCCGGCGCTGAACTCAAACCTGCCTGATGCACAGGAGGTTGAGCAGAACGGGATGTGCAGTGCTGCAATATTCACCAGGACGGATGACTCACGCCAGCGACTGTAAACAAAGGAGGAAGCCAGTGCTGTCTCTAGGAGACAGGGAGAAAACCAACACAGACAACCGAATACAGCATGAGCAACTGGTCCTTCTGTTTCCATAGAGGCCTCTCAGGCTGTTCCAAAGAGCATTAGCAATATTTCATGCCCCCACCCCCCCTTTTTTTTTTTTAATGTCCTACAGAAGTTTAAGCACTGTCTATGCATCATCATACTATTAGGATCAAGTCTATATGGGGAATACCTATGACTCACACTGGATTCCTGAAATTTTTAAAGCTGGTTCTCACAAGGTCACACCGCTATGAACACACTCGAACACTTCTGACAGAGCTGTAAGCATGAAGTTGCTGTCAAGTAACTTCATTCATGTTTTCCATAACTAAACAGCCCTTTTTAAAATATCAAAGCTTCCCACTTAGCAATCTGAACATCAGGTACGCAAATATCAGAGTTACAGCTCTTCCACTTAAAATATGATGCACAGATGCTGTCAACAGCAATACAAAAAATACAGTTTAAAGAGAATACCATGCAGATACACTACATACTCATCTATGGATTCAGACTTGCAATGCCAGGATGACCACTGCATCCCACATCCCTGAACAAAAATTAAAATCAAGGATCAAGTAGGTCTTGACCTACAATAAGACAAGTGGAGTCTCACTAAGTGCATTCAGGGACCACTCAAGTGTGCCATTTTACTAAGTCAACAGATAATTCCTCGTTTCCAAATCAGTTAAAAAGCATTTATTTGCTAGATCCCAAGAGGGCCTTGTCCTATTTTGCTAGGCTTCGGGCAGTTTAATCCCTGTTTGTTTAGTTAACGGAGGTGCTAAGAAGCTAACCCAATTTAGTCAGATTTTTACCCAAACTCCAACCAAGCAGGTTATGATTGAAGGCCAAGCTCAGTCTTTTTCTAAGCCAATTTGAATACTCTGCCTTCCAAGAATAGTCTGTGAATTACTGAAGTCTGACAGTTACTGCATTTACTACATGTGATCTAATTTCATTGCCTCCCTATTAATATGAGGTATGTATATACCCCTGAATTTTCTATTTAGAACTTTTTTTTTTACACCACACTCCCCCCCAATTTTTCTGAGATCTTGCCAGTTTATTCTGTTTCCATGGGGACCTGAGTCAGAAGTTCAGTAACTCTATAGAGAATCCCAGGTAAGAAAACTGAACTACAGCTCTGGTCTCCAGCAAACACTGCTGTCCTTTACAGAACGTTAATTGCTTTGACTTTGTGCAATGACTCTGAACCCCACTTCATCAGGGAATTTCATTTTACCTTTGCTGAAAGGGCCAGCCCAAGAAAGCCTGTGAGGTGTACACACTCACAAAACAAACTGAGAAGCAATGCTTTTTTTCTGATCACAAACTTTTCCCCTGTAAAAGACATCACTAAGCCAGCAAAACTAGAAATAGAGAACAGGTTTCACCTGGGTGGAGGAATAATTTCATGATGCTGGCATTTTCAGTATTTCTACCCTCAGTTATGCCAGCATAAAGGGACAGAGGAGGAAGACTTCAGGTACTTGATGCTGGTACATGGCAGGAGCACCTCAGCATAGCCCAAAGTAAACTGATGCTGCGTGGAAGGAAGAGTGTCTCAGCCAACATGAAAGCTTTTCAGTTTTCTGTATGAATGCCACAACCAAGCACATTAAAAACATCTCAAGAAGGAGATCAGGGCATGTTCTTCCAAGTTTTAAGCAGGATGTACATTAAAATAACCACCCAATAGGTACTTAACCACATTCTTTGGTACTTGTAACAACTACTAATTCATATGACCTCAATCACTGCTATAGTATCTGAAGAAATGCAACAATAAACCAAAGCTAACTCAATTCTTCTGTTAGAGTTCATAGAACCATCTTGTATTTCTTCATTCATTTTCCAGCTTTGCCAGAGCAGCTGAAAATTTTTCTCTCCCTACAAGCCCTGCCTAAACTTTTCAGCCCGAGACTCGAAGTCGCATGAAGCACAAAGCAAGACAAAGGCACGAAAAAGGAAGCTTTCAGCCCTGTTACCCTCCTCCCATTCAGCTGTACTATCCAGATGAAAACCAATACTTCAGAGAAGTCCATTTCAGCTTCCAGGCACAACTGATAAGATTTAGGGAAAGAGCCAACTGTTTACTCCCAGTATAAATCTAATAATCTGTCTGGCTAGATGGATTATTCCCCATGACCTAGATGCATTCCTGTGCACAGTGATCCCCAAGGAATAGAGCAGCTTTGCCAAAGTTTTTCCTTCCCTGGTATTTTACACTTAAAAATAACTAAGTTCACATACCTATTAGCACAAGGTAGGGTTCTCACAGCAGCTGACCCATGCAAATGAAATTTTTGGCTCCCTCCTCCTCACCCCCTTTTCTGTGAAACAGGTTTTGATTTAAGACATCCTTCAGTAACACAGAAAAGCAAGCATGGTCCCATGCTGGATATCAGGCTGAAGAAAAAAAAAACTCAGGGTGCTCCACTGGCAATTCAATATTAAGAAGTGGTATATTCTACACTTGTATTGAATTTATCTCCAAGTAAAAAAAGTAGTTTAGTTAATATTTGGATACTGTTAACTTACAAATAACTTAGCCTTTCTTTACTGGAGTAATGGCTAATGAGTTTGGATTTAGCAAACAAGTATCTGCACCAAGAAGCATGATTCTGCATTAAGTGCCTGCACAAGACAGCAGCATGTAATCTAGGTGCCCAAGCCAGGCTGTGCAACTACGTCTCTTGGTAAGAGATGCTTAGGCCTGAAAAGCTGCACAGCATTCCCCAGGTCCTGAAGTCACTGACAGCTCCTTTGATGGCAGCCTACTGGTAGATAAGTGTCCTCACTATGGGGAATGAATGTGATTTCAAACAAACACACAAATGAAATTCTCATCTCCTATAACTGTTCAAGCCCACAATAAGGACCTGCAAATGCTTCTTCAAATCCTAGCAAGGTGTTTGAATATCTAGAATGTAAGGTTATCATGAAACACAGTATTACTTGTAAGCACTCTGCTGTTGGGAGAAAAACAGATGAAAATACAGGGATTCTAGGTAACAGGTGGGGTAAAATTCAGATTGATTTCCCTCTGCCCAAAAGGTGCTGAGCTCCTCCAAATTCTTTGATTCCTGGGCACATCTAAATCCTTAAGATCTGTATTGAATATCACGTTGTCATCAAGCATGCAATTGTTATCAGACTCCTAGTTTTGTTTCACAAGTTAAGAAAAAGCAGAAGTTCCTTCAGAGTAGTTCTGCAGACACGCAGCTTTGAATAGTGTCCAAAAAAACTCATCCGTTATTCCTCCAGATATATATTCCACTAGTTACAGAAGTAGTGCCCATGACTAGCAGATATTTACTTTAAAAATTTTGCTGTCTTGGTATATGCTGAGCAGAGCTGGAGAACGTGCATTAGCTAGAAGGGCGAGAAAAAACCACAGGTCTCAACAGGAGGTCAGACTCCTGTAATTTAACAGGAAGCTATCCCTATTACCTGCTAAGATGCATTATGTTCTCCTATCAGCCTTAAAAAAATTTGTTCTTCCTTTAGCCCCTTGAATTCATGTAAGGAACCCTTTGAATCAATCTGAAGCTAGCTGTGATTCACCCTCCCTCTCCTTCTATTGGAAGAGCTTTTTATTTCACCAACCCTTTTCAAATTAATCTGAGTAGCTGTTTTCATCTAAGTGTCCTAAATATAACCAAAGCCAGACAGAGAGATCTTTGTCACTCACATGAGAAATCTGAAAGAGGGTTGTAAACTGCAGTGAGTCTAAACTGGCCCATATAAAAACGTAACCAAGTAAAAGAAATGTAAAGCTAAACACTCTTTTATGCATAGCAAGGCAGGATTTTACAAGCAGAAGATCCAGAACAGGCATTTACTTTGCAGCACCAGCAGCTGATCTGGCGCTCTCTGGGAAAGCAGTGGATGCCTCACATACAGTTTATACAAACATGGCACTTCTGTTCTCTTTCAGTGGATACTGGAAGCCACAGACACACTACAACATAGCACTGACTCAGCTGGTCTCATTAGGATAGGCTTAAATTTAGCTACAGGCTGGGTTTGTAAAACATATTTCAAGCTGATGAAGATCAGACTGGGTCTTCATTTTCTGCCTATTTACAATCATGACTCGATTCATACATCCAGAAAACAAAATTACCTTGCCATTTTGTTGTTCAACTATGAAGTTCATACTCTTACTCATGAGACAAGAGATCATATTCTTTTCACTTAAGATAATTAATTCTTAAATAGAAATTGCTATTCCAGATATTCGACTGCCAAACACAATGCTCCAGAAGTATTACACTGCAATAACAAAGGCACGACATAAGATATGAAATACAGTGAAAGCTCATGGAAGCTATAAAAAGCTATGAAATACACCCCTCACCTTTAAAGATATTTGCCAAACACCAAACTGCAACACTCACAGGACAGGAACATGTTTTATGGACAAGTGAAAGGAAAGTCACAAAGCAAGATACTAACCATGTTAGAAACAGCACTGTGAGCAGACTCCCACCTTTCTTGTTCTTAACACCTTCAATTTCCATTGACACCACCGAAATGTAAAAAGCCACCCTCTCAAATGAAGTCAGGTCATTTCATCAGATGTTAGAATTAAGCTTTTTCTGACAACAAGCTCTTCAGGACAGAGATAAAGTACATATCCTTGTACGACAGCTTCTAGCTACTATCAGACAGCAAAGCTAACTCTGAACCTTGAAACTGGAGTAAAATTTTAGAAGACACTTGGAGTTACATCTGAGTAAGCTTGGCTTCTGAGATGGAGGGAAACATTACAGAGGAATCATAACGCTAAGAGTCAACGTTGAAACAAAAGCACACAAGCATAGACAGTGATGTCCAATTAAAATCCTAACACCAGACTTCCATCTTCTCTTTAATTAAGAAAAATTCCTATGCTTGTTTACACCATCAGCTTTATTAGGGTCTACAAATGTTACATCTTACATTCACTGTGACAATGGTACATGGGCACCTAAGTTACCTTTAGTAGTGAGTACGGCAGCATGACCTCCAGCTCCGCTATCTGGTGAGCAGGATCTTCGCTGTCCCCACGAATTTCTAAGTCCTCCTCTGGTATCGTGTCCCAGTGCCCTCGGTGGGCTGCCATCATATGGACCAGTTCATACTGCTCAGGCAGCGCTAGGCTAATCCGTGTTTGCGTCCCATGCGTGAAGCGGATCCGTCGCCTCTTACAATTCTCCTCATTGCTGATTTTGGTGGTAGGGAGCAGCTTCTCACCCAGCAGTATGTTGAGTAACTGGCACTTGGCATTACAGTTCTGGCCAAGAATCAGAAGGCAAGGGTGCCAGCTCACAGTCCGCTGGAGATGCTCTTCCTCATGACGAGGGAAGGAAATGAAATTCTGCCCTAAAATTGAAGACAGACTGCATTAGAACAGGTTGGCTGAACAACAAGTCTCATATCTCTAAGCCAGCTGAACGCAAAAGTTCAGACATCGCTGCCCCACAGCCCGCCGAGAAACCCACATAGCACCAAGAATTTGCTTATGTTTCCTGAAACTAGTGTCAGCAATTCAGCATTTCTACTGCACCAACACAGAGGTCCACAGTAGGTTGATTCTCACAAAGCCTTTCAGACAATTTATTACTGTTCTTCCCACGTATTTCACTGGAAAGTGTTTACACAGAGCTCTCTTCAGCAGGTTAGTGGAAGACTAATGGTAGGCCCTAAAAGTCAAGAGGAAACAGTTGTCAAGGTTGAAACAACCAAAGGGCTAATTTTGCCTTGGGCTGGAACAGTGTTTCGCCTTGCTCCAGAGTTCAAGGAGGCCCAATGGGTCACTAAGGCTAACTCTTCCCAAGTTTTGATGGCTTGGCTACACAGAACGCTCCTGTCACATATCAGAAATAAATTCAATCAACTATGAATCGGTGACAGTTCTGCCCACACACTTAAAAACGTCAAATACTTTGCATCTACTGAATCCCAAGAGTACTACTGCACAAGCGTGGTGACCAAAGTCTAGGATCATTGACATTAAAGCAGCAAAACCTCCTCTCTAGCCTCAAGGAAAGGCATTCTTGCAAAATTGCTTCTCTACATGAAGCAGATGACAAGACCAAGTTTGCTGAAACATGGTGGCAGAACTAATAGCCTCTGCCAGCAGTTCCCTATGACAAAAATACAATCACAGCATCTAAAGAAACTGTCACGCTTTCACCAGCCCCTCTTTGCTACCAGCCGGAAGGTTCCTGGTGCAGTCTAAAACACCGTAAGAAACAGCTTCTCTCCTTTGATCACACTAACAGTACACATCTTTCCTAACCTATAGAGTTGAACTAAATAGGCACAGTTTGCCAGATATTCTTATTAATTTTAAGAACAACATTTAAGCTGCAAAAAGAAATTACTCAACATCTGTACCTTTTTCAGAGTAGCAGGACTCCCTGTAATCACTCTCCTTACCCATCTTCCACCTGAAGCATCAGTTGTACCATCCCACTAACCAGGCCCTTTGAATTCTTAGTCCATGATGCTGCAACTCCTTGCATTTGCCTTACTACATTAATTCAGTCTCAGTACTGAATTTAGCTTCTGTATTCTTTTACAAGTCCTAAATACAGCTTTTCCCACGCTCAGTCATCTAAGCTGAAGTCTAAGAAGCTTTGCGTTACCTTATGCATAGCAACAGAATAATTCTGGTAGTACAAAAAAAAGGATACAAACAAATTCCCCCATCTGCTGCACTTCAGCGCAATCCCCGCGAGTACAAAACAGCTAGTGTTCCACCACAGCCAGAGCACTAGCCCATGTTCCCAGACTGAAGGCAGATGGTACCCAAGAATGAAATGGCAAATGGACACACCAGTCCCCAAAAGAACTGCCAAATCTGAAAGCTATAAACCAGTACGATTGCCCTGATATCAGGCAAACTGACAAGAACGGCAGTTTAAAGATAGACTCAAATACAATACAGCAGAGAAGCACCAGCAGGGATTTTGTAGGGGAAGGTCCTGTTTCACCAAGGCTATTAAAATTCTTTTAATGAGTCATGTTCTGGCATCCAAAATTGTTTCAGCGTCTCAAGCCCCAAGAAAACAAGATACTCTCTCATACCAAGATATTCCTCAACACTACTAACCAAATTAAAGATAACATACAGCAGCTATTCTAGTCCTCATGCTGATAGCACTCCATTCCTTTATCTTAATTAAAATCATTCAAATCAGGAGCAACACCAGGTGTACTTGGTTGTGCCCTAGACCCAGTTTAAGGCTTCTTTAACATCTTGCCTAAGACTTACCTTTCCTTCAAATCTTCAGTCTGGAAATAGGACTGCTGGAGGAGTTCTCTCCATCAGAGGAGTCCTTCCACCCCACACAACACTAAGGGGAAACCCCCTCTGTGCCTCAGCAAGCCCCTCTCCTGCACCTCTGCACCACACAGCCCTGGACGCTGACCCCCATAAACCAACAGTTTGGAAAAGGTTAAGGGAGACATCACTTCTGGAAGTGTGACTCTTTGTAACTGTTTCTTAAACAAGCCTTTCAAGATGCACAACCATAGCAGAGTGGCCACATCAAGTGACTGAAGGGCAGAATCTGGCGGCTAGCAGCTCACAAAAGATAAAAATCAGTAAAACCCCACAAACAGCACATTTAAGCCTTCATCTACAAGATGAAGAATTTCTTTGATCTGCTTACATCTATTGAAACTTCAACTGGAATTCAGGCTCGCTCTTCAGCTACCAAGCATGAAGAAAGCAATTCAGAAGGCGTTGCACAGGCCATGAAGCCTTCTCTGCACAGGCTTTTGAAAAGAAGAGGCAGATTGCATCCTCTCCTCATTCTGGGTGGTCTCCGTATTTATGGGTACCTAATGCCAGCACAAAATGATTGAAATACAGCAGCTTAGCTGAAATTATTGAAGCACGGAATGGATATATAAATACTCCATCTTTAAAACACCTTTCATCTTTTCATGCACGCAGCCTCCCTGTGATCAGCATTTATTCAACAAGTTTACTACACGCGTTATCAGTAACGAAGCCATTACATTTAACGTTATGTCACACTACGATATTCCAAGTATGTGGAGTACAAGCCTGGAGCCAGCACCGAAAGCGAGATTCAGCCATATCACAACTAACCCAGTGCACCATCAAGGCATCCAAGTCATGGCAGTGGTTTCAACCCTGCGCGTATCTACCACTGGATACCTTACAGCGACCTCAAGGTCTCCAACCTGAAGCGAGTTGCACAGCGATGGAGCTATTGCTCCTGGTTCCGCAGTGCAGAAAGTATATTGCTATTTCTGCACATCAGAATAAGACACAGGGTAAAAACACTCGCACAGTACTTAATCGGTGATGCCACTAATCGGAACATGAAGAATTCAAGTTGGGAGGAATATGAGCTCCTGTGGTACCTAACAAAAAGTAGACTTAGAACTTGCTTACTGAAGAGACGTAGCGATATTCCCCTATCTACGTGAGCAGCTCCTGTTTGCGACAGGACTTTTGCCAGAGATTTTAGCTGGTGCTACATAACTGTATCCATGTACTGTTATCATTTGGAGACATGTGATAAACACTTCCAAAAAAAAAAAAATGGCTGCAGGGGGAGTCCTTAAGCGCGTGCATCCTGTTAAGCTCCTTCTGATGAAAGGAGGCCTGTCCAAGAACAAGGACGTCTCTCACCAAGACTCATCTCAAAATTCAGTCAAACACTTGGCAGAAGAACCTTAGGTTGAATTTACGGAATCTGTAGAAACCCTAAGGATGTACCCATCCCCTTTTCAAGGAAGGCCAACTACACTGCCGGTCTCACTTGTCTTTCTATCCTATTTGCAGTAATACATGCGAACTACAGTGCCTAAATAAGGCCAGACCCTCATACTACTTATTGCAAGTACTGATACCTTTCATAGAAATCCTTACCCTTCTGTGGTGCTGGCGATGACTTGCAGCATGCTTTGACCACTACAAGACTTATGATCAACACACTCAGTTATACAAACCAAGTTTTAGTCCCACCCCGCCACACATCTACCAGCACAGCGGTGTTAATTCCAGGAGAACACATGCGACGAATCAATGTACCAACATAAGCAGCTCCTACAGGAGCAGCTGTTAGAACATGAGCAGCCCACATGGTCTGCAGAGCCGAGCTTCATCTTCTGCTTAGCTTGAAGCTTGTTAGCAAGTGCCTCCTCCCATCTATTTGAGGAGTTATTTCACAAGCACCCTCCCGACCACCTCTCCACACGTTATCTAGTCTTAAAACCCATCTTCTTATGTTGACATACCTAACAGCACAATAGGAGCCCTAACCTTTTGAGGATCACAGCAATATAGGCAGTCACATTTTAACCAGGATATATACCCTCGGTCAATACAGCATCAGGAGGAAAACTCTTCCAAACCCTCTGGTTAACACATTCACCCCCTACGAAATGCATTTATGGATGGAGTCATTAGGCTACCAAGCCTAGGGCTTTTCCCCCAGCGCACACTCATTCAGATAACACCACAGCTGCTGACCAAAACTCTGGCGATGCTGTGGGTATCTTAAAGAGGTACAGCTCAGTTTACAGAAACTTCTGAAATAAGGCAAAAGAAATATCAAAAAACCTCAGGTTCCTCGGTCAAAGAGTTCAAATTACTTCAAGCACAGAATGAAGAAAACAACTACAATTAGTAGAAAGCAGGTTGCTGGGTTTTTTTCTTAGTATCTTTACATATTTTAGTAAAATCTGCTACTGAGTCCCTAATTAAGATTTTCTTTTTACAGAAAGTCAGTACAAACCACACTAGCTAAACAGCACCAAGAATAAAAAGCTGTCAGACCTGTGCAGGCTAAAGCTACAGGATTGTCATAGTGTCGTGGTTTAACCCCAGCCGGCAACTAAGCCCCACACAGCCGCTTGGTCACTGCCCCCCAGTGAGATGGGGGGAAGAATCGGAAGGGTAGAAGTGAGAAAACTTGTGGGTTGAGATAAAGACAGTTTAATAGGTAAAGCAAAAGCCACACATACAAGCAAAGCAAACCAAGGAATCCATTCACTGCTTCCCATGGGCAGGCAGGTGTTCAGCCATCCCCAGGAAAGCAGGGCTCCATCACGTGTAACGGTGACTTGGGAAGACAAACACCATCACTCTGAACGTCCCCCCCCTTCCTCCTTCTTCCCCCAGCTTTATATGCTGAGCATGACGTCATATGGTGCGGAATATCCCTTGGGTCAGTTGGGGTCAGCTGTCCCGGCCGTGTCCCCTCCCAAGTCCTTGTGCCCCCCCCAGCCTGCTCGCTGGTGGGGTGAGGAGCAGAAAAGGCCTTGACTCTGTGTCAGCACTGCTCAGCAGTAACCAAAACATCCCTGTGTTATCAACAGTTTCCAGCACAAATCCAAAACATAGCCTCATACCAGCTACTATGAAGAAAATTAACTCTACCCCAGCCAAAACCAGCACATGGTACTTTAACAAATCATTCTTAAAAGCCTATTCATGACAAAGGAGACCTAGAGAACAGACAATATTGTGTTGAATGCTTCAGAAATGCAGACAGTGCAAACAAGACTTTCTCCCTCCCCTCATAAACAGTAGCTGGAAGGCAATTATTTTTTCCCTTGAATTTATTTTACTTCTCTTACTATGAGGAGTAAGACAGTCCTGGTGCTAAGGCCACAGAGGGAACGTTTGGTCAATGACAATCCTTTATGGATCAGTATTGCCTGTCATCCTCCTAAGCAGAGGAGGGTGGGATGCAAAAGCAAGCACACATTTACTCCTTCAAGTACCCAACCCTGACTGACCCAGCTTACCTGAAAGGTCAGTGGCTACTACTCAGCTTAGCAGATACTTAGGTCTGCTTTTGGACTGAGTAACCCAGGCTGTGCTTTAGGTTGCTGGAGCTGTGTTGATTCAAAGGGCAGCCACCTTTCTATGTTGTTACACCAGCTTCACAGGCGCCTCAGAAGCAAACCCCTTCACATTTGTTTTGTTTCCAAGACACCTAAATTTACTTTCACAGTTTATTTTTCCACTTCAGCCATAGGCAGTAAGTGTCCTGTCCATTTCACTTCCCAGTTCCTTTGTATTTCACAAAACATTAGCATTCACGCCTCAGCACGCTGCAGAGCACTACAAGAAGTCTGCAGAACTATCGGGTCAAAATTCCTCTCACTTTGACACCACCTGTAGGGCAGATTCTAGGAAAAAGCGGTCCTGAAGTCAGTGAGAACGGTGCTCCTTAAACCCTCTGACACTTAAAATAATTTCCCCATGTTAGACAGGGGAAAAAAAGCTTTATTACCAGCCACTAAGTTTCAGAGAGTACTGGACATGTACGATACAACTGAAATTTTACAGAAACAAGCAGCTCTTGTCCAAAGGCAATTATCCAGGCACAAAGGTAATAAGCAATACCAAGACTCTGGGTTTCAGGCAAAGGCTTTTGTCTTCCCATAGCTTAAAAAAATAATATCCATCGGTTCACAGTTGCTTTCCAGTTGACTCATTTAAGAAAACTGCCAGCCTCCGTTATTTTACCAAGTCCTGCTCTTCATCCTGTCCCTTCCTCTTCCCACACTCCCCTCAAGACTGCCACCATGACTTCCCACCTTCTAACACGGAGCAGGTTTATTAACTTGCTCTGTGCCCCACCTGGAACACGTCACCACTTCACCAGTTTGAAAACTGCTGATTTAAGTGTTAATTTTAAGCACAGTAAATGTTATACAACCTCTGCAGTCTGAAATCCTGAACCAAGAGCCTACACTGTTATTACTGTTCGCATGAACAAGCTCTAAAGCAGTCAGCCTTTCCTTGAAGCCCTGATACTTAAGGGCCAGTTGGTAACACATTCAGCAGTAAAGTCAAACTGGGTCAAGGTAGGTATTTGAAAAAAAACCAACCAAACAACGGAGTTTATAAGCACTCTGTATTAGAAACCACAGGCAGGGTATTTGGAGAAATCTGTATCCTATGTCAGGAATATCTAATTAATGATGCACCCACATCTACAAAGCCCTATAAGCAGACTTTCAAAGATGCAATTGTATTTGACCAGCAATGTTTTACAAGAAATAACCAAACAGAAGAGCAACTCCAGTGGGCACTACCATTCAAACAGCGTGGAGACCCACAGAAAATGAGCGAAACCAACTAGTTCCTGCTTCTTAGAAGTCACAGAAAGATGTAAACAAACAGAGACACCCCATTTTTACGAAACTCTTCACTTCCATTCTGACAGTTTACATGGAACACTACTAGTTTTTTTCTTTTACACAGATTGACAGAAAAGCTCAACAACACTTCAATTTTCAAATCAGAATTGTAAGCGTAAGACAAGCATGGACAAGCATTTTGGACAAGTAGCCAACAGAGATGACTCATGAGCCATTTGGAAATGAATAAAGACGATCTTTATATATTTAACGTCACGCTAAACTCTCCTCACAAGACAGTCTTATGGAAAGACGAAGTTCTGCACATGGCAGGAGGGCTCCCGCCGGCAGCAGTGTTTGTCAACAGTGACGGATGAGGATAAAGCCGATGAATGAAGCCCGGCACGACTCCCACAGAGCTCCACAAGCCACCCACTTCCCCAGGCGCTGCATCTTCCTAACTCCCGCCCTGCACCTCCCCGCCCCCCCCCGGGGGGTGCAGGGTGGGGGT